ACTCTGCCCTCCTCAGCAGCAGCTATGGAGGTGAACATGGGAGCCCAGGTGACCGAGAGACAAAGTATCACTCGTTCATCCTTTGCTCTGCCCAGAGGCCACGTCAGCCGGTGACATGGCGTTGGCTAGCGCTTGGTTGACTTGCCCGCGCAGGTCTCATCCCAAAAAAAAAAAAAAAAAAAAAAAAATCCTAATCTAAAACAAAATTTAAACAAACCCGAAACAGCGTTATCCCACACAGCTATGAAAAGCCAAATAAACTAATAAAGCTCTACCATCATGAAATCCTAAGAGGATTTTACAGACACTACAAAGTAGTACAAACCCAAAACCGAACAACACTAAACTAGGCGTCTAAAGCGACGAATCAAGCGGTGCTCATCTATCAAAATAGCCAGTATGCAAACAGCACCACTCTTCCGCTTCGCCAGCTTCAACAAACGGGGCTACATAGGCTGCTCCAGGCCGCTCCAGGTCACCCAAAAGCAGAGTAAACTCCACATCTGTCGTCGCCCAGTCAGCAGATTGACCCAATCGCCGCAGGCCGCCCCCAACTAGGCAATTCCAATTACAGGTCTTTTTTTCTTTTGTTTTTTGAGAAAACTACGGCGCAGTCAGGGATTGAGTTTGTAATTGCACTTGAGGCAAAAGGGCCGGTAATGCTGAATGTATGTGACCTACGTTTCGGGTCCGGTGGGGTCGCGTGGGGGTGTGTTGTATTCGCGGGATTGCCTGAAGTGCAATTACAAACTGTTTTCGTGACTGCGCCGAAGTTACCCCTTGTTTTTTTCTTCCCACTCCAAGTATATGTCTGTGTTCTGGTATTCAACGAGTTTGGTCAGAGGAATCATCGACAATGGAAGCACCTGTGTACACCACGTGGACCTTTGATCATTCGCCCGTGAGTGCGGGGCAGTGGGTTCGTCTGATTGATTTTGTTGGCACTATCCAGTAGGCACTTATGCTGCATACTACAAAAGCCACAGGACGACACGATGTGTGCGAACGACTTACATCAGATGGAAATGGCCAATTTTGTAGCCCGTAATGGCACGTTTCCTGAGAATAATGTTGCTGGGGACAGCGTATGTGTACTTGGGGAACCCAGTGGTGGCAAATCTAATCCATAATATAATGCAAAGTTATATGGTCGCCACTGGTGAGAGGCAGGATATGGCTCCAAGTTCGTCTACATCACGACGGACAGAAAGCACGGCTGAATCCTGAAGGGTCTGCGTCACAGACCCAATTTCAGTCAATGCAAACCGCAGCATATGCCGTATCCAGGTGTGTACGGTCGGAAAAGATTTGGTAACAAAACAAAACAAAACAAAAAGTGTGCTCATGAGATTTCCGGATCGGATGGCAGGAACCCGTGCCCCGTGCTTTTTTTTCTTTTGTCTTTTTCCTTTTTTTCTTTTTTTTAAACCCAGGGTGTTGTAGAGGCCAAGGACCAGACCCACAGTGATTGCTGGTAGCGGCAGCCAATGGTTGTCCTGACAAGATAGGCCACCTACCCTACCCATCCCCACGTTAATACTCCCAGCGCACCCCCTGTCCCTACTATCCTACCTCAGTGTGACCAACACTCAGGACCATCACCCTACCAGTATTGAGGGCAGCAGTGACAAGCACCAAGGCTGGGCCAACCTCCCAGCCCTGATGGAAGCGGAAGGGGACGAACCTGGCCGTACGGGAACTTCGGACACCAGGCTCATGCAATCTTCTACAGCCTCAATTCAGAGAGTCTACCCAGCAGCATTACATAAGCAAGGTAGGCCAGGGGCTGCGGACACATCCTACCTTCATTCCCCTAACTTACCCAAGGCTAGGCGGAACTCAGACTAGCCGGAGCGACTTATATCCCTATCCCTACCCTAGAGCTAAGCCATGCGAGAGTAGACCCCGTCTGCCCAAAGTTATCTACAGTGAAACCTGCACAGTCAATCCTCTGGACTCCAGAGTAATCAATGCTGGCAGGTTTCGTCTTCCTTCTGTTCACATTCATCAATCTGTAAATGGGACGCTGGACCCGCTTTCCAGCAGGTGAAGCTCCCCACCAATAGATGGAGCCTCCCCTCTGGGTGCTAGTGGTGTCTGCTCTTACCAGCAGCACTAGCACTGCGAGGGTGTATCTTTTTGTAAATAATAATTAAAAAAAAAAAAAAAAATAAAATGTGAATGAAATGAGTGGGCGAGC